ATTTCAAACTGCAAATTCTTCCTTTGGTTTAGGTTCACCTAGAGTCAATGGTTCGATAACAGAGACAGTTTTTAAACTTTTTTCAACGTTTATTTGTTTTTGAGAAACAGAGTGAGACAGAGCACGAGCGGGGGAGGGGCAGAGAGAGAGAGAGAGAGAGAGAGAGAGGCACTGAATCCGAAATCCGAAGTAGGCTCCGGGCTCTGAGCTGTCAGCGCAGAGCCCGATTCGGGGCTCAAACCCACAAACCGTGAGATCATGACCTGAGCCGAAGTTGGACGCTTAACTGGCCGAGCCACCCAGGCGCCCCAACAGACAGTTTTTAAAATGAAATACTTTTGGAGCATCTGGGTGACTCAGTCAGTTAAGTGTCTGACTCTTGATTTTGGCTCCGGTCATGATCTCACCTTTCGTGAGTTCGAGCCTGAGGTGGGGCTCTTCTCTGATGGTGCAGAGCCCTCTGAGGATTCTCCTACTCTCTCCCTCTCTCAGCCCCTTCCCTGCTCATGCTGTCTCTCTCTGTCTCTCAAAATAAATAAACTTTAAAAAAAAATGAAGTACTTTTGATGATCTCGCCTGATATTACTTCGATAAAGCACGATTGATAGCTGACACTCTTCTTGGAAGCATGGGCTTCCAACTAGCATGGGCTAGTTGACAAAAGCCTACCTTGTTCGCAGAAGAAAGGATAACATGTCCAGATGAAATCGTATCATCTGGTTTTGCCAAAGAATGTGATAATCGTCTAATGCTGTTAATTCATAAGGAACGAGAAGGTCTAGGACATGAGACGTTAGTCTTACACTAAAATGTGAAGTTCCGTTGTCTCGTGAATGTGCACTTCTGACTCACATTGTACAAGCGAGGAGACTATGACAGCTAATCCAGATCAAAAATGTCCCATTTGATTGCACGGTAGATCCCAAACAGAAAGCCGATAGCTCTCTCCAGCTTTTAGACTTTCAACTTGGGCACAACGTCTCACCTCAAAGAAGTATATTAGGAGTAAATGTGTGAGGAAGAATTTGCATAGGTCGTGTAATGTTTCCTTCGTTTCCTTTGATTTGTGAAGCTGGAATCACTCAGCATCAAAACAGCCATCAAGACGCTAAAGTTGGAGGGCATTTTGTCTGTTCAAAATACAACTGGATCCATAAAAAGACCGACATCGTGGATTTCAATGTCTTTTCAACACCTTTCCCGAGGACACACCTTTTTTTTTTTTTAACAAGATGCCATTATTCTGCACATCTACAAATCCAAGCCACTGACATGCATTGATACTCTGTGTGAACGCTTCTTTGATCCTCTGCAAAATGTTATAGTAACCGAAAAGCAAAAGCAAAAATGAACGGAGGGAAGCCCTGAGGAGCACTGTTTTATAAATCAGGATTTCCATGCAATTTATAGATGAGTCCCACTGAATACCATGTTAGAATATGAATGCGTATCAACAGAAGTACCATAACTCATGATGTTTATGTATAAAACGTGCCGCAGAAATCATTTATCTACCTGTAACATATTGATATCTCCTACCTACTTGGACTCATTGAGGCACAGACTCCTTTCGTTTAAGGTACCCCTTGATCATATGCCATTTTTATTGTTGTCCATTTCAGGCCACCAGATGAGTACAATGAAGTCTATTAGTACACGGAAAACAAGTTCTACAACTTCTAGAAGAACCAAAGCATCAGGCAACGAGCAGTTACTGGCATTTGACATCATTCGATTCTAAAAATTAAGTTCTATCCCTCATTAAATGCTTGGTTAGATTTAGTGGGTTTTCTCTGTGTCTTGTGTCAGCCATGGTAACTTTGAAAATATATATCTGCTTTATTGAGATATATTTCACATACGGTACAAATCGCCCATGTTAAACTGTACTATTCAGGAGATTTTAGAGTATCCACAGACTTGCACACAGCCAGGATGGCATTTCATTTGGCTATTTTTAGAGATTGGTAAAGTCGGTGTCGGGATAAATTGAAATTTTACGGAATTCATTTAAACCATGTTAAGATTTAACTATATGTGGCAACCTTTTTGCTCCTCTTTTCCTGGTTGACGAAAACCATATTATGAAGTGAAGAAGAATTAGCACATCCGGTTATATGAATAATTGCTAACATTTAAAGAGCATAGACTCTTTGGCACGAGCAATGTTAAGTGTTTTGCATGCATTATCTCATTGCATCATCGGGACAACCCTATGAGGTACATACTATTATTATCCCCATTTTAGAGATAAGACAACCAAGACTTAGGGTGGTCACGTTGCTTGTCCAAGGTGAGCTAGAAGGAGGTGGAAACCGAACTCCTCACGTTTGTATTATCTTAACCTACCGAGCCCATACCTCTTTCTCCACATTCTGCTGCCTTTACTGTTGCCAATTAAGAATCTCCACAAAGCACAATGATAAGCTTGCTCATCCAATGCGCCACAGAATTATTTAATACATCAGAAGCAAAGACGTGCATTGTGGTGTTTATAAGTACAAGCCCTGGTATCTGGCTTCAAAAAGTATGGTTTTACCAGTTACTAGCTTTGTGACTTTCAGACAAGTTACCAACTACTAAGTTACTCCGTGTCTTCGTTTCCTCGTTTGTAAAATGGAATATTAGTATTGATATTAGACTAACATAGTTAGAGATCAGCACATCAGAGGTGCTCCATACCTCATTTACCTTTTACCTAGTTGACAAAAGCCTACCTTGTTCGCAGAAGAAAGGATAACATGTCCAGATGAAATCGTATCATCTGGTTTTGCCAAAGAATGTGATAACTTCTGGGAACCAGGACCCAGCTACTCTTTCTGTATTTGAAATATGATGCAAGCTGGGGTGCCTGGGTAGCTCAGTCGGTTAAGCGTCCAACTTGGGCTCAGGTCACGATCACACGGTTCGCAAGTTCGAGCTCTGCACCGGGCTCTTCCCTGTCAGCACAAAACTTGCTTCAGATGCCCTGTCCCTCTCTCTCTCTCTATGCCCCTCCCCCACTTTCTCTCTTTCTCTCTCTCTCTCTCTCTCTCCCTCTCTCTCTCTCTCTCAAAAATATATAAAACCACTAAATTTTTTTAAAAATTAAAAATTAAAAATATACAATGCAAGCTGTAGAAACATTAAAATTATTCTAGCAATGTTCCAAGGGCAGTTGTAATGAGTAATATTTTGAATTCTAAAGCAGTGGCTCCTCTTATCCTTCTGGAGGTTAAGGCTCCGTCAAGGCTCTGATGAAAGCTGTTATGAACTTCTTTCAGAAAAATTCAAATGTGCACATACAGGTAAGTTTTTGCATATAATTGCAGGGGTTGAGAGATCCCAGAGGCTCATGCCCCACAAAAGAGCCCCTGCCTCTGAGGGAAATGATTGAAATCTACCTTCTGTGCCTTTGCCAACCAAGGGGAAGACCTTGAAAAAGCTTTACAGCATCTCCAAATTAAATATTCTTCCTTTCCCCTTAAAATAAAAGGATTTGAGCAACTGATCTCTAAAATTCCTTTTAAGTCTAATTCCGTAATTCTAACTTCTGAATGACATAACAACTTCAGTTAACCAACCAATTTCGGTAATTTATTATTCTTCTCCCTGGGTTTCTTAATTAATATTGATCTCGCTTTACTTAGTGCTGCCAATTCTGGAGGAAATGGAAAATTACCTTAATCTTTACAGGCATCTTCGAGATTTTGAATTTCTAATTTGCTGCCCAATTTCATCCCAGTTTGTATAAGTAAAATTAACATATTTATGTACTCTATCAGTTATTTGGTTATTGATACACAAATCATGATCTGAGCCGTCTACAAGTAGATTATATGGATAGTAATTCAATTCTTCCTGAAAAATCCTCATTACTTTGAGGGTGCTGGTCGTCTAGAACCCCAAACATCAGTTATCAGCCCAGAACTTGACTATTAATATACTTTGTGGATCACTAAGCATTAAATGTAGTTATTCTAATAATAATAATACTCTACATTTTTAGAATCCTGTGTGTCCACAAATTCCCATCATGTACATCAGCTCAATTATCATGACCACTGTTTTCTTTTTCTTTTTCTTTTCTTTTGGAATAAATTTGGATTTTCAGAAAAGTCACCGAGATAGCACAGAGAGTCCCCATAGACCCTTCACCCGGCTCCCTGTAGAGGTTAATATCTTTTGAAGAGTATGGATTAGGCAGTTTATAGAATGACCCTTAATTTGTGTTCAATGTCAAGACTAGGGTTATGGTTTGGTGGGGAAGAACACCAGAGCAAAGTGCCCAACTCATGACATAATCTCACTGGGTATATACTATTGATGTTACTTATCATTGGTAACGTTGGCCTTGATCACTTGGTTAAGCTCATATTTGCCGCTCTTCTGCACAATACGGGTACAAATTTCCCTTTTCCTTATGCTTCACTGGAAGCAAGTCATTAAATACAGTCCATCTCCAAAGGGAGAAAAATTAAGCTCTAACTCCTGGAGAAGGGGTGTATCTTCATTCGGTATTTGGAACTTTCGCAGACAACCACTTTTCAAAGCACATACAAGGGGTACGTGGGTGGCTCAGGTGGTTGAGCGAGCAACTCTTGATATCGGCTCGGGTCACGATCTCACGGTTCATGAGACTGAGCACCACATCAGGCTCTGTGCTGTCAGTGTAGAATGGGCTTCTCTCTCTCTCTCTCTCTCTCTCTCTCTCTCTGTCTCTGCCCTTCTCTCTCTCTAAATAAATAAGTAAAACTTTAAAGTTAATTAACGAATTAATTAATTAAAATATAAATGGCATACAACGGTTTCCCTTTGTTTAGCTGAGGACTGGGCTCACACTGACCAATCACACAGCTAGTAGAGCTAGCTTGCAGAACCAGCTTTTCTAATTCCAAGCCCGTCCATTTTTCCATGACACCATAGCATCTCTATGTAAGCAAAGGTTTGTCCCGTGTTTTAGTGGGAGTCCAGCAATACGCACTTAAGCTCTATTTTGTTTTGTTTTGCAACTTACATACCTCTTAGTTGATATCACTTGAGTGCAGCCAAAAGAGTCAATGTGGTTTCCAAAATCTGCTGCCGTGTGAATGGTGTGATCCGGCAGATCCTGGTTTCCTCTGGATCCACTCTCTTTTCGTTCTAAGTACTAGTCAGTCTGCTGTGTTCGCAAATAGATCTTTTTCCACTCCACGGCTATTCAATTAATCGAAATAGGCACTTCCTCTTCCTATAACGTTAATAAAAGGCAAAGTCAACAATTCTAGACCCTGCCTCAGATAAAATCAAGATTTGTTGTCCTCAGACTCAGTTGGCAACCTACTAAAATAAATATCCATCGAAACGGACTTCCAGAACTCCGCAGAGTGATCTGGATTATCTAAGCAATCCAGACAAACGTATGGATCAAGGTCCTTACCTGCCCGGCGTCAGCAACATTCTACACGTCGCTTTGGTTGCAGACATCAGGCTTCACAGAGCTGTCAGCTGGTAATGATTTTCAGTCCCAGCAAAGGGAAGCCAAATTGTAACAGGTGACACAAAGGGGAAAGATTCTGTATCGGATTACTAATTCCCAAGAGCTACCCCAGGTCACTGGACTTCCCACGTGTGAAGTTCAGGAATTTAGAGACATTTTAAAATTAGCATTTCTTCTGGCGCAATTACTTGTCTTATCAGTCATTCAAGTTTAATAAGCACACCTCGGCTTGCAGTGATTCACTAAGCCCGTGGGAGAGTTAATCCAGAGTGACAGGGTCCCCGCCCACCGGGCACTCACATTCTAACACAAAGACAACAGACCCACACCGAAATGGGAGACATTCCATCCGAACACGAAAGGGAGGGTTTGTTTTATGTCGGTTGTGTTTGGGGGCTCTTAGCTTTTATTGTCTACTTTCGAGGTGTGTGTGTGTGTGTGTGTGTGAAGAATGAGAAGCAAATCACAAACACTAAGGGTTTAAGGAACCAGGGGAAGGAAGCAGAGTTTGCTGGTTATTAATTTAAGGTTCCGATATTACATGTAATACACTCTCTCAGGTGTTGCTGTGCCTCACAGCAGAAATACGGAGATTTGCAAAAATGGAAGCATCAAATACCCAAATTGCTATGGACTGACCCTGTATACAGCTCCTCACAATCCCCATCCTCTGTCTTTTCTGCCCTTCCGTTCCCTGACCCCTTGTCCTGCAAATGTCTTTAGTCTGCCTTCATGTGAAGAGTCACATTCCCTAAAGAGGTGGCAATTCGGGTGTGGTGCTTCTACTGGTAAAGTTTCCTTACGGGAGCTATTAGCATGGAGTCGGTGACTTATCTCTACGGGATATTTTCTCTCCACTTTAATTCTCTAATCTATCAAATGCGGATAATGCTTATAAGTTTGTCCTGACAATTAAAAAAGAAATAAATTTATACCTAAAAGCATTTTGTAAACTGTGCAACCCTATTCACATGTAAGAAAACACTAAGGGATCTTTTATTTAAGAATATATGTAGTTTCCGGGGCGCCTGGGTGGCTCAGTCGGTTGGGCGGCTGACTTCCGCTCAGGTCACGATCTCGAGGTCCATGAGTTCGAGCCCCGCGTCGGGCTCTGTGCTGACGGTTCGGAGCCTGGATCCTGCTTCGGATTCTGTGTCTCGCTCTCTCTCTGGCCCTCCCCCGTTTGCGCTCTGTCTCTGTCTTTCAAAAATAAATAAATGTTTAAAAAAAAAAGTTTAAAAAAAGAATATATATAGTTTCCAATCAAATGGCAATCATCATTTTCAGGAATCACCTCTGTTCAGGAATGATCTCAATTTCGGGCCATTCTCACGAATTAAACTACTGACATATTGTCAGAGATCTTTAAAATTGACTACGCTAAAATAAAAATTAACGATGTATTATTTGTAATAAATAAAATGAAAGGCTTGCTAAGTTGGAAAACACATGGGTTTATGTCCTCATTTTTTAAATTGTGACTAAATATACATAATATAAAATTCGCCACTTTAACCATGTTTTGAGCATACAGTTCCATGGTTTTAAACATAGTCACACTGTGGTGCAACCACCATCACCATCCATCTCCAGCACGTTTTCATCTTCCTCAACCAAAACTCTGCATCCATTAAAAAATAACTCCCCATTCCTTGGGGCTCCTGAGTGGCTCAGTCGATTAAGCGTCAGACTTCAGCTCAGGTCATGATTTCACAGCTCAGGAGTTCAAGCCCCACATCAGGCTCTGTGCTGACGGCTCAGACCCTGGAGCCTGCCTTGGATTCTGTGTCTCCTTCTCTCTCTGCCCCTCCCCTGTTCTCTCTCTCTCTCTCTCAAAAATAAACATTAAAAAAAAATTTAAAGATATTAAAAAATAACTCCCCATTTCTCAAACCCCCAGCCTCTGGAAGCCCCTCTTCCACTTTCTATCTCCATGAATTTGACTCTTCTAGGGATTTTGCATAAGTGAAATCATACAGTACTCGACATTTTGTGCCTGGCTTCTTTCACTTACCATATGTCCTCAAGGCTTATCCATGTTGTAGCATGAAACATGGAGGGTTTTCAGTGAGAGATTGCAAAGGTTGAGTTCCATCTCTACCACTTGCTAGCTAAGTGAAAAAATCATAGGTGATTTAAGCAAAAATAAAATTGTCAAGGAAATAATTTGGTCAAAACAATGAAATGAATCAGTAAGAATACATGAACACACACACACACACACACACACACACACATATACACTTACCAGCAAAGCTGACTTAATGTAAACAAAGTGTTTCACTCTGGAGAAGCAACAAAAATTTTCTATCTGGTACCATTCACTGTTTAGAATGTTTTTATGCTTTTTTTTGTTTGTCAAACAAACATGTATGTATCTATATAGGAATGTATGTACACATACATATAATAACGTAAAACTCAAAGGCCAGAAATAAATTTGTATCCTAATTCTAGCTTTTTACATGCATAGTTCAACTTTGATCGAGTTCCTTTTATAAATTGTAAAACGGTTACAAGTTCTTAGCAATCGGGGAGAATCCAAAAATGAATAGAGAATCAGGGACGAGAGATAAATTACACTTGTTAAAAATTAATTGGGAAAAGGGCATAAAAATTCATGAAAGAAAACACTTCGACGAGAAGAACCCCTTCTGAGTCCTCCACTGTGTATTTTGGGATTTAACATTCTTTGGGAAATAGCATAAAACATTTAACAAAAAAAAAAATTAAGGATGGAATGAATACATCCAGGGAAGCCAATAGCGAAATGCATACTTAAAAGTGTATTCGTTAAAAGCGAAAACACTAGGGGGACCTGGGTGGCTCGGTCGCTGATTAAGCGTCAGAGTTCGGCTCAGGCCACGATCTCATGGTTCATGAGATCGAGCCCTGCGTCAGGCTCTGTACGGACAGCTCGGAGCCTAGTGCCCGACTCCGATTCTGTGTCTCCCTCTCTCTCTCTCCCCCTTCCCCACTCGCATTCTGTCTCTCTCTCAAAAATAAATAAACATCTTAAAAAATTAAAGAGAAAAAAGCAAATGCACTAAGGACAAGTACTCACCACAGATACACTTACAAATCCTTGTTGCTGTTGAGTGGCAGACTGTTTCTTCCTAGAAGTCGGGAAGGAGCTAAAGTCAACGCAGATTAATACATGAGCGTGACCAGCTGCTTTCCGCCTAACAGGGTTTGGCTCCCATTTCTGGCCATTGTGAGATCACCCCATTTGCGACAAGCAGACTTTCGTACTCGAGTTCAGCCACCAGTGATTCCGGTACTTTGAAGGTAGGACAAAACTGTCCTTTCCCTTCATCTGTTGGGAGGAAACACTCGAAGATAATTGTGTGAGAATCATCTTTTTTGTTTTTGTTACTTAAACCAATCATTTATACTAAAGCTGAGGTCTCAATCCTGTCTGTATGGGAGGCTCCTGGGTGTGGAGTTTCTTAAAAACACTGATGTCCGGGTCCCAGCCCCGGAGATTCTAGTTGATGGCCTGGGCGATGCTAACACATCAGTACTTTTAAAAGCTTCCTCAGTGATTTTTTTTTTTAATTTTTTTTCAACGTTTATTTATTTTTTGGGACAGAGAGAGACAGAGCATGAACCGGGGAGGGGCAGAGAGAGAGGGAGACACAGAATCGGAAACAGGCTCCAGGCTCTGAGCCATCAGCCCAGAGCCCGACGCGGGGCTCGAACTCACGGACCGTGAGATCGTGACCTGGCTGAAGTCGGACGCTTAACCGACTGCGCCACCCAGGCGCCCCAGCCTCAGTGATTTTAAATGCACCCGGGTATGGGGCGTCTGGGTGACTCAGTTGGTTAAGCATCCAACTTCAGCTCAGGTCGTGATCTCGTAGTTTGTGAGTCCAAGCCCTTGTATGGGGCTTTCTGGTCTCAGCGTAGAGCCTCCTTGACATCTTCGGCCTCCCTCTCCCTTTGCCCCTTGCCTGTTCTCTCTCTCTCTCAAAAATAAACAAAAACATTTGAAAAAATTTTAAATGTATCCAGGTTTGGGAATCATGGCACTGAAGCTCCCCATACCCATATCTTTTCGTTTTGTTTCTTTCTTTCACGTTGCTGCTTGTCTCCTTGTGTCTCTCACCAAGTACCCCAATATCCCAATCAATTATAACTGGTGCTTTCTGTGTGGCGGCTGTCCCCAAGAATGTTATACCAATTCCCCTCACTGATCTTCAAACTAGACCCTCCAGATACCCCCGGCCCCTCTCTAGTCACCAACATAGCTTTGATCCCACCAGGTCAATGGCTGGCTCCTCAAGAGTCCTCAAATCTGCTCCTGTCACTTGTGCTATACTTACCATGAGACGATCGGATTTACGTATTTATTGAACTAAATATGAGTGCAAAAAGAGAACGTGCTTTCAAAGAGAACTGAGATGAGTACTTTGTTCAAATCAAGGCAAGTCATTAGGGGGAAGAAAAACTGTCAAAATAGATACGGATGAAAAGATTGTGAAGATGGAGAAAACAACAAAAATCAGAAAAAATAAATAAAATCTAGATAATTTCTGTACTTAGCACGTTCCACTTTAAAGAAATACAAGCTGGAAATCATAAATGAAGCATTAAGGGGGTAATTTATTAAAAAGAGAGAAAGAGAGGGGCGCCTGGGTGGCACAGTCTGTTGAGCGTCCGACTTTGGCTCAGATCATGATCTCACGGTTCATAAGTTCGAGCCCCGCACCGGGCTCTCTGAGGTCAGCACAGAGCCCACTTCAGATCTTCTGTCCCCCTTCTTTCTGCCCCTCCCCCATTTGTACTCTCCCCCAAATAAATGTTTTTTAAAAAGAGAGAGAGAAAGAGGAAGACAAAGGAAAAGAAGGAACCGCAATCATGATCAATAAAGAAATTAGCATCTCTACCTCAGCTGACTCGCTGAAAGGAACACATTCGGATGTTGTTGTCTATCTCCAGAAAAAAAAAAAAAAAAAAACCAGACTTGGCGTGTGCGATAATGATGTTGAATAAATCAGGAACAGCAACAAAAACCACTCTGTCTCCTCCTCCACTTCCTTTTCCTCCTGTGCCATAAATGATGCTCTGAAAACTGAAAGAAGTAAGAAGCGTGACACATGAGTGAACATAACCTGTCAGGTACGACTGCTGAGTTAATAAAGGCGTGAAAATCTGCTTTCGAAAACACTTTCAGTCAACGCTGTTCCAAGACTTACCGGTGAGGGGAGGAAAAAACATCAGTGCCA